TATACATTAACATCGCATCATTAAAATATATCAATCAAAACAGTTATTTTATTGTATTTTATTAACACCCCAGATGTCTGATAAACAAATGATGCTGATGTTGATGTTGTATTGATGTTGATGTTGTATTGATGTTTTATTGCTTCTATTGTTGTGTTTGGGCTCGGCCTCATGTAAGCTGCACCGAGTCCCTTGGAGAGATGGTAGCGGGGTACAAATAAAGTTAATAAATAAATAATAAATAATAATGTTGATGTTGTTGAAAGAATATAGACTTTTTTAAAAAAAATCATTGGGATATAGAAATGATATAAGGTAATTGACATTGACGCCCCTCTGTTCCTGAACTATATCACCTCCCTAGTTTAACAGGGAGTTGAGGGTGATGGAGGAGGAGGAATAAAGGTTCAAGTATCACTAACAGAACACTGGGCAAACCCAGTTATACATGTATTGAAACCATCTGAGCATCTATAGTATTCCAGTGAGGGCAGTGCTACTCTGCCACTGCACTGAATATAGCAACTTTTCAAAACTTGTAAGCCTGGAGCTGCAGGAGGCAAGAGCAGTCACCAGTATTTTATGGCTGTGACTCTTCATGTGATCAAAATCACTTGAACTTGGATTCTGACAAGTTGACAGGTTGGTAGGACAAATTGATGTAACTTTAGCAACCACTCATTCTGTTACATGGTATTCTTTTCAGCTTGTAGATATTCAGAATGTGGACAGGGTGTCTGGAGCAGTGTGTACGTGCACGTGCCTGTTTATTCATCTGTGGCCCTTCTTGGATGATCAAATGTGTCAAGTTGGAATGATGGCTGTCATTAAGGGAAGGAAGTAATGCATTCTTATAAAAGGGCTTATCCCTGCCATCTTAAAATAAACATAAATTAAAAAGTGTTACCCTTGACCAGAATTTTTACTGTTTTTCATCCTGTTTCAAAGTTACTATACTTCACTAAGGTGGTTTCTTCACTACCTATGCAAACAAGTAGAGAAAGATTTGTAATTCATAAAACAAGAAAATGTTTTAGTAATTCCATCCAGCAAACAAAATGTAAATGTATGAGTCTATAGTGCCACTCTCAAGAAGACAAATTTTGCTTTAGCTGAGATAGTACTTCAGCCTGTAAAGGCTTTAAGGACTTTGTTTCTAGAATCTTTTAAGTTTCACAAATTGTTCTGATGAAACGGAAGTAATTACTAAATGGCAAAGCAATTCTTAGAGAACTGCCTGTGTTGATATCTCATAACTTAATTTGATTTTCCTAGGCTCCTGCAATTTAGCTACCTCTAAATAATTTTAGAAGACAATTAATCTTTCTTCAGCCTTATTGTTTCACTTGCTGCTTATGTATATTATAGAAAATATAATTAAAATTAGTCTGTGCTTAAGTGGTCATTGGTTATGAATACCTAATTTAAAAAACTTTTAAATTATTCTGCTTTGTCTTAAAATAGTTATTATGTCATTAAAGTCGGTATTCTTATAGTAACTTGCCAAAGAATACAGAATTCTACCTGAACATCGGATCAGGTTCTTTGTCTATCTAGTTTAGTGTTGTCTTTGCTGACAAGCAGTCACTCCCAGGTTCTCAACCTGATTCCATACCCATTACCTGCTGGGCGCCAGGAGCTGAACTTGAGTGCAAAGCTTATGATCAACTGCTGAGCTATGTTTTCCCCCAGAGGGAGTAATAGTTTGGCTGTTGGGTAATATAGTAATGTAAATAGTCATGTACATTTGTTTCTTTACATTACTGTCTCATCCAGCAACCAAAGCTTTCTGGGATGTTCACACAACAGAGTTAAAACTACATAATACAGATACATTAGAAAGATTGAATTTGTTCAGTGGGTTTACTTGGACTAAACATAGCTATTTACCTGGATGGTCTAGATTAATTAATGGACCTATGCATTGCCCTGATTTGCTCATGATTATATTAGCTATTAGCCATTACATTTTAATTTGTCTTTTCTCTGGTCAGCTTAATGTGGTGTATATGGCTCCTGTCTTCCACACTTCAGCCTCACACCAGAAGCAACTTACAGTTTCTCAAGTCGCTCCTGACATAGAAAAAAAAATCTTACAACAATCCTGTGAGCTGATAGGTCCAATGACTGAGACAGGGACTGAGTATTGTTCAAAAGCTATTTTCAATTGTCAAACTGCACAGCTCTAATAGTTTTAATTTTTTCTTTAGCAAAATTATGCTATTTGTGTATCACTTCAATTCTACATGTTTTCCAAGGCTTACTTTGGAATATTTTAAAATATAGCATAGTAAATTTTGATAGGCAGCAAATTTTGATATTTTGCATTATGTCTTACCAAAGAAAAAGCACATTTTGTCTTAAATGAAACTGTCTTCATCTCCGTCTTCTTGTTTGGTGCCATTGTCTAATCTGTTGATCGTAATAAATTATTTATTCATGTCTCTCAACTTTTGACTTTTTATTAGTGGATTTATGAAGTTGTTTCTTGGTTTATTTATGTCTCTTATTCCTGAAAATGACTTTGGGCTACAAAGAGGGACCATTAAATTAAATTGTGGAATTTTTTGATTTGCTTCTTAATGAGAAACTAAACTGTGTTAGCACAAGAAGCACAATGAGAAGTCCCCCCTGCTCAATTGGAAACAATATGTAGAAGTTATCTGATACTGTTTTCTAGAACAGTTGGAAATAGTTTATAATTTATGGAGCAATAGATACGAAGAAGTAAAATGTACATTTATTCTTATGGAGCTTAGATGATACCTTAGAATCTGGAGAAGGAAGTTTTATAAAACGATAGGTGAACAAGTCCATTTATCATTTTCTTATAAAACATAACATTGAACATTATTTTTGCAAAGTTCCAAAGTATCTTTAGATTTTTTTCCCATGCACATTACAAAGATCCTCCTTGAGAATGTGGTATGTGTTATTTTCTGTCATGTGCATAACACTGTTAAGTTTCATGATGTTTCCCCTTTCTGGCTGTTATCACATGTGCTTTTTCATACTAATAGGAGCCATAGGAAACAGCTGTAGCTGCAACACAAGCAGAAGCAGTAGCAAAAATGCCTACTCATTCTAATTGATTTTTATCATTTTTGCAGATATAGACCACTTAACTGATTGCTAAGATGACTTTTGACAGAGATTATTATACTTTGTGATGTGCATTGCAAAGGAAACTTGTTCATTTCTTTCTATAACTATGGAGTTATCCTCACAACACTTAGTATTTGCAAAGTTTGCCTGTTTATTTAAGGCTACTGAACAGATAATATATCAATTATCTTGCAACACGTACCTTGCCTTAATTTTAGGAGAGGAAAAATAATTCATCTTTAGTTAAGCATAAACTTTCTTGGATTATAATCCATTTTCTCTGGTGCATAAATTTCTTTGGATCAAAGGCAGGACTTCAGAATTATAAATATATTAGTAGACTGGCCAGTTTTGAAATTTGCTTTTAATTATGCAGTTTTGAGATTTGTTTTTAATTATGCAATAGAATTGAGTTTTTAAATGCACAATTCTCCTAATATTCATAACAAGCTCATAACACACAATTGAACATTATTAAAGGAACTTGAATATTTAAAAAGCTTTAGTAGCTTTACTTCAACTTGACCGGTTGTGTTTTGCATTTGTAATTTGCTTTTATAAACTTTCAAAAATATTGAGAAAGTTAATATTTTAATTTTTTAATACTCAGGTTTTCTTTCAAGGGTAAATATTCAATTTGAACATACAGAATTGGACAGCTGGCATTAAATTGACAGTTTCTGTAGTATTTCACATCTTGTACTATAGACAGCTCAGAGATAATTCTTTACAGAAACATAATGGATCTTACATTCTAATAGATCAATATAAGAAAGTGGTCATTTTGTTTTCAATACTTTATGAAGATATTGAGCCATTATCTCTGAAATCTCTTTCCCTCAACTTAATTGCACATAACCATAGAGCAAGGTAATTTGTGCTGTTGAACTAATTGATTTGTTTATTCAACTGCTTTCACAATGTTTACATACACTGTTTTAAAAAACAAAGGATTTAGATTACTTATCTACAACTACTTTCTTCCTTCCTTCATTAAAGATTACAATCCATTGAGGAGTTGTTTATCTAGAATCATATTCATAGCTGGAACTGACACAAAAAAAGATTTTGCTAATAAAAGCACATTCTAGATTTTGGAAAAAAAAGTTGCTAGACAGAAGATTAGAAACTGGATTATAACGAAAATACCCTCCTCTAACATCCTTAATGCCTAAGCTCAGTTTCACAGGTGCATCATTCAGAATTTCTAAGCTGCTTAGATCCGACACTTCCAATGCAATTCAACATTTAATCTAATTAGAATAATAGTAATTTTTATTGCTTGGAGCTTTCTTAAATCACGTCACTTTAAAAAGTCTTCCATATTTTAAAATTAGTATATATGTACTGAACTAGAGGAATGTGTTGTTTATGGAACGGATGAACCAGACTTTGAAATACTGGCTCGTATATGCCTCTGTGTATTCTACCTAGGGCAACAAGACAATCTTTATACAAGATATACCTCCAACTTACATATTGTATTCCATCATTTTGAGGATATGGATTAACATATTCCATCAATTTGAGGATATGGATTAACATCCACAAAAATGCATGCTGAAAAATATCTGTTAATGTTCTTTGTCTCTTAAAACCAATGTTGAAACATATGTTGAACTGCTTATTTTTTTTATCTTCAGAACCATTGGTTTAGATGTCCAAAATCATCTTCCCAGAAGAACTAGCATTTGGGTTGCTGAATCTATGGGAACATCTATGGCTGCAACACTTCAAATGCAGCATGTGTTCTATAGCAAACCCACACTTCTCTCATTAAATTATGCCTGTTTTCTATAGTTGAGGGCTATTGTGTCTTGATACATTATTGGATGAAGATCATTATAGTAGAGGAAAATTTTGTTGCTTAAACTTTATTTTTATTTTGCTTGTAGGGCAGAAGGACTGAGCAATGAATAAATTACGGCAGAGTTTTAGGAGAAAGAAAGATGTCTATGTCCCTGAAGCCAGTAGGCCACACCAGTGGCAGACAGATGAAGAGGGTGTTCGGACTGGGAAATGCAGCTTCCAAGTTAAGGTAAGAACAGTAACTTTTCTTACACTGCTGGTTCTTTATTTTTTAAAATACATGTGTGCTACCCCATATAAAAAGATATCAGGGCAAGCACAGATAATAAAACCATTTTTGCACAATGTAGAATAGCCCAACATTTAAAACAGTATGAATAATTTAAATAAACTAAGAGTATAAAACTACTGAAATATTTTAAAACCAGACACTGGTGCAAGTATGGACACAGTATTTAGACCCTTGAGGTTTTTACAAAGTCTCATTTTAACTTTGTGACACTATAAAGTAAGTATTGATGTCAGTAAAACCTTAAAAGAGAAAGTATACCATAACTTGAATGCTACAGCGGAGAAGGGTCTCCCATGTACTCACAACGTTTATTGCTCCCACTGTTGATATACAGAAGAGAGCCCCTTTAGAAATTTCTGGAACTTCCAACTTGGTTAGATTTATCTTCAGTTTATTGATCTTCCCTCAGCCTGTTGCAGCATGTAGGCAACAATTCAAAACCTCAGTTGGTCAATCCTGATGACAAACAGGATTGAATATCATAATTAGAATAGTACACAACTCTTAAACTTCTAATGACTGCATTCAGTGGCTTCATGTTACTATGAAACTGCATGCTGATAGGATGGAACCATGTGGCATCCCACAGCCTAATAGTCATGGGACTAAATATACAATGCTACTTTCTGGATTTAACCCTGTAGGGAAAGCAGTCCAACAGAATTATTCATGATCTCAAAACGTGGTGAGTGACATTTTTGGCCCAGGAAAGATCTTCTATAAACAGCGGGTGAACTGGTAATAAACTCCTGAGCTCTTCTTGTTTTAAACAGACCTGCTCTGGGACTAAAGTAGCTCAAGATACTTAGCAATTTGCCATCAATCTCTAGGGGGAGTTGTAGTCATTTTGTGACCAAACATTTTTGGAAGAAAAAATGAAGGAGAAAGTTAGCAGAAAGTTAAAGTCCTCCAAATGTCCTGGAAAGACCAGCGTATCTTCTAATCTCTGATAGTTGTCAGTCCCTGGGTTAGAGAAATCACGATTAGGACAACTTCAGTGCCTGGCCTCCAACCAGATTGAAATAGGTCCAGACAATCTTTTTCATCCAAGAATCTTGGAAGGTGTCCTGTTGCATCACCCTCAAGCACCTTGCCTGAAAAGAGGATATTGGCAATCAAGTGATAGTTCTCACATGACTCTGAGTACAGTGAGATTCTCTTTAGAAGAGTATGCAGTATTTATTTATTTATAGTATTTCTGTATCAAATCCCAGCCAACAAGTATAGATAGTCGTCTTCAAACTGCTTGTGGCCTTTTATGTTGGAGTCCCTTTCTTTATTGTCATGGCATAGTCATATCAAGATCCTAACAGAATAGCCAGCCAGCTGGAACATTCCCCAGAGAAGTGCTACTCAACATGGTGATCCTGGAATAATGTTGGTTCCTAGGCCTTTGGTTGCTGATCTCTGATTGTTTTGTCTTGGAAAGAAAGTAACAATTGTACCCAGTGGGCTCAAATAAGATGCCATTTTCTGACACATTGTGGTGGGGGGTTGCTGGTTGCTCACATCAGGTAGATAGAGAAGCACTTCCCTAGAAAATTCAGGAATTCGCCAGACTTCATAAATCAATTGGGAGAGACCATCTTAACAAATTTGTCAACCCTGAAAGAAGAGTTTGCTATTGTCAAATAAAATTTTACAAATAATCTGATGGCAACTCCCCACTACTGACACACATCAGATCATCCTGTATGCCCCACTGCAAGAGTCAACTCGCATTGTGGGGTCTTAGATATACTGAGATTTTAGTTGTCATGGTAGCCATGAAGTACAGTTTCTATGGCCTTGGCATGTAGTTTGGAGCCCTCCTCCTGCAAAAGTTTTTCAGTACCACTAGACCATCTCTGCTTAAGCAGAGTGAAGTAGGTGGCGTACCATCAACATACCTGTCTGACCCAAGAGAAGACTGGAATCTTTATAGATAATGACATTTCCCTCCCCCCAATCTCTATTCGGGTTACTGCTTCACCAGATGCCTTGCTGGAGAAACTGGGACAGATCCATCCTGCCCATTTTTCTAGCCAGATCTCAGTAATGCACAATCCCTTCAGCCCACATTTAATTGGGTGTTTTGGGCTCTCTAACTCTGGATGAGTGATGTGGATGCTAAATTACATAGTGATTCTCAGATGTTTCAGTAGATGCAAAATAACATTGGAAGCAACATAAGGCTAAAATGTATTCAGCAAAACATTTGTAATATTAAGAAGGGTCTGCCCTATTTTTTGTGATTATATAGATTTTGTGCTGATACCACAAAACTGTTTTCAGCAGGCAACAGCGTTGTAGCCCTATCGAAAATACAATAGCAACTTACCATCATGATTTAAATATTTTGACTTGGGTGTGCTTGAATGTTTAAAAAACTAGGCATTTATTGCTTTTTTCATTTTATGTTGCAAATTCTGGGTCTACTTATGGACATTTTCTAGAACTCTGTGGTGGCGAAGAGGAAGCGTTAGTGAAAATTAGTTTAGATAGCTAGTAGGATTTCGGAAGTTACAGGAAAAGATGAGCCACTGATGAGTGTTAAATACTTAATTCCATTACTACCAGAGCCACTCTTACAGAATCTTCTGCAAGTAATACCAGTGTATGTTGATATTTCTCTCCATAATCATGGGCTAGAATATTTTTAAAATGACCCTGCCATTTGCAAGGTGCCAAATTTTAAGCGAGATAGCTTCTGTCACACATGCACACACATCCCTGACATGTATGGAACACATACACATACAGCCAAGATGTTTCCATTACTGACTGGTTACTTCTTAGATTATTCATGGTAACATGGTGTTTAAGGACTGCACATTCCATAGAAAAAAATATCTTCTTGTCAGTTTTCCAGTGCTGCTTTAATCCTCTCTCTTTTCCCCAATCTATTTTCGTCTTTTCTTGTCATAGAGTTCTGAAAATGTAGGATTTTTTTCATACTTGTTTTCTTTTAGAGAAACTGCATTGGCTTAACTGAACCTCTTTTGCTTTTATGTATTTTGAATATCACTTTGTTCTTGTCTGTTAAGTGCACAATTTCAGCTGTGCAAAGAAATGAGTGTTCAGAACTGACAAAATGTTGTTTTCTGACTGGTGGCAAATTGCTGTCTTTCCCTCCTTAGAATGTAACTGCATCAGTGTCTTTCTGTTGTCATTGTGCTCAGTGGAACATTAAACAGATAACTTTGAATCAATGAAGAATCATAAAAAGTCACAAGATGTGTTTACACAGTGAGTTCAGACACTTTAAAACATTCACTTTCAACATAACATCTTACACACATACCTGGGTCACAGATTATAAAACTTGGCTTCATAAAAAGTCAAGAAGTTAGGAGTATCAGCAAGCTGACAGTCCTTTCAAAAGTGGAGTCTTGCTTAGTTGAAAAAAAGGAAACAGTTACATATCGTAAGGCAGGCCAAGTGATATTCTGAGAAGTGCAAGTTTAAAAATTGGTACTGATAATAAAGCTTCTTTAAACCTACCCATACCAGAAAATTGCCAAAAGCTCCATGACCATTAGACGGATAATGATGGAAATTATTATTTTTAACAACTTTATTTATACCACATCTTTTTTCTGATAATCAAAACTCAATATGGTCTACAAATTAAAACAGCTGTGAAGTTGATAATAATATGTGAGATTATTATAAACATATAATTAATTGGAATGTCAATAACATTAAAACAGCCATACTTTTAAAAAATGAAAATATATAGTTTAAAATAGCTCAGAGATGTAGCATTTTTCATATCTGTTTCTTTGAAAGAGTGATTTCTTTACATCTTGTTTGAATTAATGATCATCAATGCTGAAAGAAAGACAAAGAGGCAGTTTATGCCTGAGAGCAGCCACGGAGAAGGCTGTCTCTTGTGTGTCCCATCAAAGGTCCCTGTGGGGATGGTCCTCAAAAAGAGACCAGTGGCCAGTGGAAGTGTTGTAACAAGTGAGTCATGTACAGTAACACCCACTGGTAGCAATCTGGTTGTTGCCTTTAGTTGTTGCCAGTTGAGTTTCTGAAGATTTTTTGAAGGCACTCTTATTCATTATTATATATATTCCTCACACTTCTGAAGCATATTGTTTTGGTATATGTCTGCCTACTTGCTTTCAAAACAGCTAATTCTAAATGCTTGTTGAGCTTAAAAAAAGAATAATACTGTTTCATACTGGTATTTGTTTTAAAATGGCAGTATCTTCAATCTTTTCAGCCTAGTATGCATTTAAATTCTAGCCTGGAGCAGCATAGATTCTACTTTAAATTTATGGCTATTTTTGTTTTTTCTTCCTCACTTTTTTGTTTTGTCCCAACTAAATTTGTGGGTGTAAAGAAAGAGTATATACTATCTGGCTCATTATTAACCATTTGTGTCAAAATGTGAAATATTCTGCTCACTGTATGCTGTTACTTGCACTGATATTTCTGTGCATTCCAGTCATTGTTCTCAGTGATATCCATATCAAACTGTGCAGTATTTTAATGGCCTAACGAAAGAACTCATATATATATATATATATAAAAGAGCATCCTCTCTAGAAAGTATATGAGCTAATACCAGTTCTGAGATACATGGATTTAAAGACCTTTGAAACTAGCAGCAGTGTGTCTTAGCAGATTTATCTCAATGACTCACAATCATACGAAGCTATTTCTCAAGGGGAATTTTCATTGAAGATCTGGAATATCTTGACAGGAAATTAATGGTGTAGAGTGGAAATCACTGAAGTAGAAAGAATCCTTTTCACTGCATCACTGAAAAAAACACTGTTCTAGGTGGCTCTATTTTAAAAAATTATTTCAAAAATAGAGCAAAAATGTAATCTCTCTACAGACAGACAGACAGAACCCCCCCCCCCCCCATGTCTAGGCAAATTCCTTTCAGATGATATACCTTTACTGATAATCCTCCAAATCCTTCCTGAAGCTGTGGTGTG